AAAAGCAAAACAATCCAATTAAAATATGGGCAGAGGAGCTGAACAGACAGTTCTCCAAGGAAGAAATTCACATGGCCAACAGACACATGAAAAGATGCTCCACATCGCTAGTCATCAGAGAAATGCAAATTAAAACCACAATGAAATATCACCTCACACCAGTAAGGATCACCACCATCCAAACAACAAATGTTAGCGAGATTGTGGAGAAAGGGGAACCCTCCTACACTGCTGGTGGGAATGTAAATTAGTTCGACCATTGTGGAAAGCAGTATTGAGGTTCCTCAAAAAGGTCAAAATAGAAAGACCATTTGACCCAGGAATTCCACTTCTAGGAATTTACCCTAAGAATGCAGGAGCCCAGTTTGAAAAAGACAGATGCACCGCTATGTTTATTGCTGCACTATTTACAATAGCCAAGAAATGGAAGCAACCTAAGTGTCCATCAGTAGATGAATGGATAAAGAAGATGTAGTACATGTACACAATGGAATATTATTCAGCCATTAGAAGAAAACAAATCCTACCATTTGCAACAACATGGGTGGAGCTACAGGGTATTATGCTCAGTGAAATAAGCCAGGATGAGACAGACAAGTACCAAATGATTTCACTTGTATATGGAGTATAAGAACAAATAAAAACTGAAGAACAAAGCAGCAGCAGAATCACAGAACCCAAGAATGGACTAACAGTTGCCAAAGGGAAAGGGACTGAGGAGGATGGATGGGAAGAGAGGGATAAGGGTGGGGAAAAAGAAAGGGGATCTTTTGATTAGCATGTATAATGTGGTGGGGGGGCATAGGGAGGGCTGTGCAACACAGAGAAGACAAGTAGTGATTCTACAGCATCTTACTACTCTGATTGACAGTGACTGTAATGGGGTTTGTGGGGGGGGACTTGGTGAAGGGGGAAGTCTAGTAAACATAATGTTTTTCATGTAATTGTAGATTAATGATAACAAAATGAATTTTAAAAAAGTTAAACATGAAACATGATCAATCAGTTCCACTTTTAGGTGTATACCCATGAGAATTCAGTACATGCATGCACACAAAACTTGTACATGAATGTTATTCCTTATAGCCAAAAAGTGAACTAATTAGTGGATACTTGGGACTGGGATGGGGATGGAGGAGAATGGTGGCTATTTCATCTTCTTTTAGTGGAGGTGAAAATGCTCTAAACTTAGATTGTGGTCAGTGGTTGCAGAGCCCTGAATACACTTTTAAGAAATCATTTAATTGTACACTTAAATCAATTAATTATATGATGTGTGAATTCAGTCTCAATAAAACTGTTTAAAAGAAAATACATTCCAGGAGTATTGTATATCTAAATGGGAAAAGTAAGTCAAATATGGAAACTGGGAAGATGGGCACACATCTTTTGGGTCTCCCACCTCACTATTCTTATACACCATAGCTGTCCCTTCCCTCTAGAATCCTCTTGCCTCAGCTGTAGATGAGAAGTTGAAAGGAGTCTAGGTGTACACCCAGAGTACACCTTTTTCGTAGGAAAAGCAGAAAGTATCAGTGGACCAGGAGAAAGCAGAGGAGAGCCAAAGGGAAGGATAGGAGCAGAGAGGATGCTGGCAGGGTGAAAAAAGGAGATGATATCTCAGGAGCTAACTGTTGAGGTTATGAATCTTACCCTTTCCTCTCAGGGGAGGCCAGTGTTAGGGAAATAGATCTGGGAACAAACCCACCAAGACAGAAAGAGAATTCATGCTATCTCAGGAAAGAAATTTAAAAATCCTAAATTAGGGAAAGGCCTAAAGATGGAGTATATAGAGATGGAGTACATATGGACCATGGAAAATGAGGTTCCCAGCTATGGGCATCTGTTGCAGGACTTAGATGACTGTGAGTCCCTCTTAGGGTGGAACTGGAAGAGTGTTCTTGAGGCAGGTGGGGAGATGTGTGCTAGCCCTCAAAGACACTTGTACAGCACCCATGTACATGTGTAGTCGTAGAGGCTCAGCAGGCAGCACTAGCAAAAGGTGCTGCTGTGATGCTCCATGACACCCTGCATGCCCATGAAGTGGCTCTGGATGAAGTACTGTAACTTATGAGGTTGAGGAACTACTGCAGGTGTCCTACCAGCCTGAAATACCCACAAGCTAATTGTGCGTGAATTGGACACTTAATCGAAAGATAAGTCAAGCAAAGAGAGTGGCTTATGTATGTGGTCTTGGGCTCTGGGTGCATCAAATTAACCTGTCTATTTCATACAGCATGGGTGATTGCATTCAGTGTGTACCCCAAGTGCATGAGCCTCATACCCTTGCATTCCTGGATCTCTGGGAACATGGGTCCTGTGTTTCACTTTGTGTTTATGAAGGTTGAAGAGGAAACCTACCCTTTAAAAAAAATATTAATATAGAAAATTTCAAACATACAAAAATAGACAGTAGCTTAGTGAACTCCTCATGTATCTATCACCAAACTTCAAAAATGACCAATTCTTGTTTTGTGTCTGTATTTCCCTACCTCCCCACCCCTGTTATGTTGAAGCAAATCCCAGGCTGTCTCAATTCATAAGTATTTCAGTATGTATCCCTAGAAGGATGATAACTCTTATGTTAAGAACTCTTCCAAATACCATAATCATACCTTAAAAAATAATTATTCAGTCAGTATTTATATTTCCCTGATTGCTTTATGTGTTGTTTTCCAGTTTGTTAAATTGAGGCCCAAAAGAGGTCCACACATTATAATTGGTTTATATGTCACTCCTAATTGTCTTTTAAACTATAAGGTCCCTTTCCATCTCTCTCTGTCTCTCTCCATCTTTTTTTTAAATAAAGAAACAAGATTTTTCCTGTAGTATGGATTTTGCCAGTTGTGCATACCCAGACGTCCATTTTAATGTGTTCCTCTCTGCCCTGTTTAATTTCTGTAAAGTGGCAGAGGCTCTGTCATATTCAAGGTGTTTTTTTTCAAGTTTACTTTATAGTTGTACTTCCGTCAGGAGATAGATAATGTCTGGTGATGATGTGATGTATAGGCAGCCATTAATGATCATTATATACATCTAGTAATTCATTAGGAATTGTAAAGTAGTAGTGGTTGTAAACTAATTCTATCATTCCTTTGTGATTAATTGTCCAAATTCTTCTGTAAAGAGAAATATTCCTTCAGGTATTTGGCTCCTTTATGAAGGCAATTAGCCATTTTCTCAAGGAGGCCTGATTTCTTTGAGTGAGAAAACAGTGTTTAGAAGACATGATCTGGGTTCTAGCGTTGCCATTTCTTTTTGAGCCAGTGCATACATAGCATTTTGATTTTTATTAATAAATCTAGCCTTAAAAATACTTTTTAGAAATTAGTCAAGTTCAATTATAATTGCTTTTGACACTTAACTTTATACTTTCTTAGCACATCTGCTAGAAGACGTATAAGGGGAGAAGAAGGAAGTTAAAATTTCATTCAGTTACTTCCTTTTAATTATCAACTAAAAGGGGAGAATGAGAGGACGATAACATTTCTTAGATTACTTTAGCAGACCCTGGGCTTGGGTATCTTTTTAAAGAAATTTTTACTATAATCTTAAGACACTGGTCAATATTATGCCCATTTTATAGATGAGGAGACCAAATCTGAGAGTGGCAAAATGACTTACTCTGTGCCATACTGCCTATGAAAAGTGGACAGTTGTGAGGTTTTGTTTTGTTTTGTTTTGTTTTTATATGTAGTGTGGTGTAAGGAACTGACTTGGCTTTTTCAATATTGCATCAAGGACAGCAAAAGTCACTGGATTAGAGCTGTAAGACATTCTTTAAAAAAACAAATTTTTTCTGCTTTATCTTACCAATGCTGGAAAAGTTTGAGTTCAACCTGGGATACAAGTAAGGATTAGGGCTAGAGAACAGAAATAGAAAACGATTATCTGTGAAACTGACATCTCTTTTCTTTCTTAATCTATGAAACTGACATCTCTTTTCTTTTAGTGAAGGGCTTCCTGGTAAATTAGAATTTTTAGATCTGGAATTTCTTAAAATAATGCATAGCCATTTTTTTTTCAGCTTTATTGAGGTATACTTGACAAATAATGCATAGCCATTTTCAAACCACTTTCAATCTCATACTAGTGGAACATCCACAATTCCACTAAACATCTGTGTGAAATATACTTTGCTGTCAGAAACTTGAATTCAAATTCCAACTACTACTTTACCAGGTGTATGAATTTAATATTCAAATTTTTATTAGTAGAACTTTTTAAAATAAGCTCTGAAAATTGAAACAGTTCTTGAATATGGTTTTGTCCTTAAAACACCAGTTTTGAGGGACTGACTTTTTTTTTCAGTTTACTATAAACACATCACCTACTCCAGAAGACCTGATGTTAAGTCAATATGTTTACCGACCCAAGATACAGATTTATAGAGAAGATTGTGGGGTTCTTCGCCAAAAGATTGAAGAGTATGAAAGCTTTCATTTTTTTGTGTGTATTTTGTTGGATGGATTCATAATCTGTGTGGTAAGGTTTTGATTAGAATAACACTGGTATAGGAAAAAGTTGATTGCATTAATTGGTGCTGTGATTTGTTATGTAGGAGTTTCAGCTTTGTAGTGAAACAGATTAAAAATCAGTCCTGGCTACAACACTAAATAAGTTATTTAACCTTTGTTTCCAAATCCATACTTTGAAGGTAATAATAATAAATAGAAAGTAAAGTAGAAAAGAGCAGTAAAAATAGTGTATATAAAATGTTTTTATGCCATTTTTAGCAAACAGTAGGTCCTTAATATATATTATTAGATTATGATATCATAAATTCATTGCAAAAGAACATTTTCAAAAGAAGATAGTACACTTTAGATATTTATATTTGGTGCCTAAAATCAAAATTGCCTTTGGTTTATAATTTTATCACATTTGTCCTTGATTTGCATGTATAAAAGAACATGGTTTTACCCATACGATAGCTAAGTGCTTTAGTATATGTAAATTGTGTAGACCAATTTGCAAATTAGGTATACTAGATACCTGTGGTAAATCAGGGCTTGTAACCCAAAATAATGTTTATATCATACTTACCTAGAACTACCCAACTTAACTGAAACCAATCCAACAAACATAAATGATGTTTTAAGAATTATGTAGTTCTAAAACTAGAAATTTAAGATGTTGTTAAATCAGCTATACTGCAGATTTGTCTGATTGTAGCTTGTTCATTCAACAAATACATACTCAGCATCTACTTTGTGCCAGCCACTATATTAAGTACCGGGATTCATCACTGAACAAGACCGGCAAGTTTCTATCTTCATGTTGTTTAAAAGAGTTGGGTGTCTCCTACTATTTGATTTTACAGCTGTGTGCCTTTGTATAGTATCTTCTAACTCTTGATAAAAATGTATTTCTTTCTGCTTGTTAACAGGAGACTAATATATAACTTTGCTACTGTTATAAATTCTATTCTATAAAGGTGAGGTAAGACTTAACTGAATTGGCAACATTTACTTAAAACTTCATAACAATTACGCATTGATAGGCCTTTAGGATTCTTGTAAGCAACATATTTTCATGTTGGAAAAAGTTGATACATTGAGATGAGGTACAAAATTCTGTTTGTGAGGGAAGTTTTTTTGAGTCATAACATTCTTGAACTATTCTATTGAAGTAATCAAGCTGGCTGCTATTCTTGAGTGAATTCCCTCTTTATGTGGAAAAGAACTAGGAAGAAATAAATTAATTATGCCTGTATATCTGAGTTAGCTGACTTCCGACCCTGTGCTAATTAACTTTTCTATATTTTAGATTAAAGCTTTCTACATTGAACCAAGATAAACTGTTGACTGATGTAAATAGAAATCTGTGGGAAAAAATGAGACACTGCTCTGATGAGGAGGTACTCTTGTCTCATTTTCTGAATGGGAATCAGTATAGACATTCTGAACAATGTTTATTGTGAAATAAGTAACTGTTAATTGGTAATTGGCAATGAGTTCTATAACTTCTCAGGTGTTATATTTTTCCAAAGTTTTAATTGTAACAATTATTAATATGTAATCTTTTCAAATCTGAAACGATCAATTCAATATTGAAATATATTCGAAGTTTATTTAGTTCCCTTGTTTGCCTTTCACTTTGATTTAGATGAAGAAAAGATTTTCTTTAACTGATAAATAAGTAACTCATTTTTTATGTGCTCTAGTGTGTTAAAAGGGAGTTCTGTTAACTAGAGGCTATCATTTTCTAATTTATAATATGGATATGTGAATTAAAAACAGGAATCAAAATTGAAATCTTTGGTTCTGTTCTCAAACTATTAAATGGAATTAAATTTGCAAATGAGAAGTGCTGTGCCATCAGTCTAGGATGGGCAAGCTTAGCACATAGCAGCTGAACCAGCCTTACCAGAACATTTGCCTTTTCTAAATCATTTGTTTTAGTGCAGTGTTGCCTTTAATTTTTCTTTACAGCTGAAGGCCTTTGGAATTTACCTGAACAAAATAAAATCAGGTTTTACCAAGATGACTAAAGTCTTCACTCACCAAGGAAAAGTGGCTCTCTACAGCAAGCTGGTGCAGTCAGCTCAGGTAATTTGAGACAGTTAATAGCATAGAAAGAAAGATCTATTAAAACTATAGTGGTTATAGAATATGAAAAATGTCCCTTAGGAGATATGTGAATGAGAATTGGACAAAAACTTAATATTCTTCATAAGAGGTGGAGTTCAATTTATCAAAAGTGGCAAATCCTGAAATCTTGAGTAATTCTAGAATATAATTACTAATACAGGCCTATATCTCATCTCATATTTGTTATCTATTATGCATATTGAAATACAACAATGTAGAATCCTGATTTTCTATTGCTAAGGACTATGCTGTAGTGGTATCTTCCTCATAGTCTATACTCAGTAGTGATGTATGTATATGTATTTAAAGTAGCATTTTCCAAAATGATCCTTCTTTCAGAAAGGCTTTTTATAAAAAAGCTGCCTGTTGGTGTAAGTTAGGGATATGCTACATGTCGTATCCCCTTTTTGGAGAAATATAGTAGCGTAGTCTAAAGCCAGACTTTTTTTTAAGTCTAAGAAGAAAAAAATTCTCTAATTCTATTTGGCCAATGTTCCCTGTATTTATTTGACAATAGAACATCTTTTAAGCAATATATATTAACATCTTATATTACATGGAAATGCTAGAATAAAGGAAAGTACAAAGAATGAATTTATATTAATCTGTTGTGTATGTATTTTTAAAAACTTTATGTCCAGACTTGAAGCTGTGACTTTTATTTTAAGATTTACCCGTTCATAATTTAGGCATAGCAGTTAAACCACCAGTTTGAACCATTCATAATGTTACAATGTTTTGTTTGGGGGTTTCAAATTGACCGTCTATAATATTTTGTGTTTAGAATGAGAGAGAAAAACTTCAGATAAGGATAGATGAGATGGACAACATACTTAAGAAGATTGATAACTGTCTAACTGAGGTGGAAATAGGTAAGTATTTTAAACACTTTTCCAAAAGAAATTTAATTTTATCTAAATGCTTCTCTACAGTACAGATGTTGGTATCACTGTGCTTGAAACCTTTATCAGCAACTTGAGACATTAAATTAGAGCATATTAAAGCCCTTTTAGTGTGGTCATCCAAAACACTATAAACAAAGGAAGCCCAAGATAGTTAGTCTCTCTGGAAAGCTCTTCATAACCTAAACCATAATCTTGATGAATTTATCTCCATTTGAAAATTATCTGTTCTCTCAGTTTAACCTCATAATACTAACTTGTTAGTATTGTCCTAAAACTGCTTTCTCAAAGATCACTGAATTCCACATAATCATCAAATTTGGTAGCTCTCAGTCCTTCCCCATCTTGACCTCTTTCAGCATTTGATACTGCTGATTATTCTTTTCTTCCTGAAACTTTGATCTCTCTGAACTTCTGTGATATTGCACTCTTCTGACCCTATTCTGTTTTCTCCTGGCTTTTCCTTTTATTTCTGTGTTGGCCTCTATTTAACGTCTTATGTAGGCATTTAGATTTTATCATCTACTCACTTCTGTATTCTTCCCTCTAATGCTTTCATCTGCCATAACAATTGTGTTTATATGAATGATTCCCAAATCCGGTTAAATTCATCAAGCATTTGTTGATTACCTACTCCATGCTGGACACTGTGCTTAGCACCAGAAAAAACAGATACTATATACACAGATTTTGCCTGTAAGTAGCTTATAATCACTTTGGGTGAAGACATCTTTAGCTTCTCTCTTTTTTTTTTATTGAAATATCATTGATATACATCTTATATTGGTTTAACACAGTGGTTCAACAGTTACCCGTATTATTAAATCCTCATCCCTTCTAGTGTAGTTACTATCTGTAAAAATAGATGTTACAGAATCACTGACTATATTCTCCATGCTATAGTAGTATCGCTGTGACCAACTTATATTATGATTGAGAATTTTTGTGCCCCTTTATCCCCTTTGCCCTCCTTACCCTCCCCACCCTACCCAAACCCCTCCTCCATGGTAATCACTAGTCACCTCTCAGTGTCTGTGAGTCTACTGCTGTTTTATTCATTTGATTTTGCTTTGTTTTTAAATTCCACAAATAAGGAAAATCATATGGTATTTGTCCTTCTCCACCTGACTTACTTCACTGAGCATAATACCCTCTAGACCCATCCACATTGTTGCAAATAGCAGGATTTCTGTCTTTTTATGTCTGAATAATATTTCATTGTGTATATGTAACACATCTTCTTTATCCATTCATCTATTAATGGACACTTAGGTTGCTTCTGTGTCTTGGCTATTGCAAACAGTACAGCAATAAACATAGGGGTACATATGTCTTTTTGAATCAGGGATCTAGTTTTCTTTGGGTAAATTCCTAAGAGTAGAATTACTAGGTCAAATGGTATTTCTATTTGAAGTTTTTTGAGGAACCTCCATACTGCTTTCCACATTTGTTGCACCAAGTTGCAGTCCCATCAACAGTGCAGGAGGGTTTCTGTTTCTCCACATCCTCACCAGCATTTGTTGTGTCTTGTCTTTTGGATAGTGGCTATTCTAACTGGTGTGAGGTGATATCTCATTGTGGTTTTGATTTTAATTTCCCTGATGATGAGCAGTGTGGAGCATCTTTTCATGTGCTTATTGGCCATCTGTATTTCTTTGGAGAAATGTCTGTTCAGTTCATCTACCCATTTTTTAATCAGGCTATTTGTTTTTTGGGTGTTGAGGCATGAGTTTCTTTTGTATTTTGGATATTAACCCCTTATCAGATGAGTCACTTACAAATATATTCTCCCATATTGTAGGATAGCTTTTTGTTCTACTGATGGTGTCCTTTGCTATATAGAAGCTTTTTAGTTGGATGTAGTCCCACTTGTTTATTTTTTATTTTGTTTCCCTTGCCCAAGGAGATGTGTCCAGGAAAAAATTGCTCATGTTTATAGTCAAGAGATTTTTGCCTGTGTTTTCTTCTAAGAGTTTTATGGTTTCATGACTTACATTCAAGTCTTTGAGCCATTTCAAGTTTACTTTTGTATATGGAGTTAGACCATTATCAAGTTTCATTCTCTTATGTATAACTGTCTAGTTTTGCCAACACCAGTTGTTAGAGAGACTGTCATTTCCCTATTGTATATCCATGGCTCCTTTATCATATATTAATAGACCCTATACACATGGGTTTATATCTGGGCTCTCTATTCTATTCCATTGATCTATTTGGGTCTGTTCTTGTGCCAGTATCAAATTGTTTTGATTACTGTAGCATTGTAGTACAGCTTGAAGTCAGGGAGTATAATCCCCCCAGCTTTGTTCTTTTTTCTCAGGATTGCTTTGGATATTCAGCGTCCTCTGTGGTTCCATATGAATTTTAGAACTATTTGTTCTAGTTCATTGAGGAATGCTGTTGGTATTTTAATACAGATTGCATTGAATCTGAAAATTGCTTTGGGCATGACGGCCATTTTGACAATATTAATCCTTCCTATCCTTGAGCTTGGGATAGATTTCCATTTATTGGTGTCTTCTTTAATTTCTTTCATGAGTGTCTTGTAGTTTTCAGAGTAAAGGTCTTTCACTTCCTTGGTTAGGTTTATTCCTAGGTATTTTATTCTTTTTTATCTAATTGTAAATGGAATTGTTTTCCTGATTTCTCTTTCTGCTAGTTTGTTGTTAGTGTATAGGAATGCAACAGATTTCTCTGTATTAGTTTTGTATCCTGCAACTTTGTTGAATTCAGTTATTAGTTCTAGTAGTTTTTTGATGGATTCTTTAGGCTTTTCTATGTATAATATCATGTCATCTGCAAATAGAGTTTAACTTCTTCCTTACCAATCTGGATGCCTTTTATCTCTTTGTGTTGTCTGATTGCCATGGCTAGGACCTCCAGTACTATGTTGAATAAAAGTGGTGAGAGTGGCCATTGCCTTTCCATTTATTATAAAGTCCAAAATTCTGAGCCTGACATTTAACATTCTCTACAGTCATTTTCAGATCTTCCTTTTTTACATGATTTCCTATTACTCCCTTACACACCCTAGATTCCAACCAAAACTTGTCATTTCTGTGCAGTCCTACCACTTTGTCTTTATTAACTCTCCTCCTGTTTTCTACCAAAGGAAGTAATCTCTATCTCCCTTGAGCTCTCATGACTGTTTTGTTAATTACATCTGCTTGTAGTTATAGTCACTTTTGTATAGGTTATCTTAACTAACTGTAGGCGCAAAGATCTGCTTTTATTTTCCTCCATATGCTTCAAAGTTCTTCACACCATGCTTTGCACAAAATAAATGTCTTGTACACATTGCCTGCACTACATAAATTCCATATCCTCAAGTTGCCCCACTCTTTTGTTCATTACCTTACTTTCTACTGCACACAAAATAAATAGAAGCCATCAGGCCAGAACTTCTAAATTTCCTGCTACCAAACAAACCAAACTTATATACAGCCATATGCATTCTTTCTTCTTTTCTTTTCCCTAAAACCAGTCTTTCTACCTAAACCTTGAATTCCATTCCCTTTTGTCTTCTCAGGAATGTTACATCACTGGTTTTCCCTTATCTCTTGTATATTCAGCCTTTCTGGCTCCTCAACTGAATGTATTCATTTATCTCATCTTTAAAAACAATAACCGCACTTCCTTTCTAGGTAGTATTGACTGGCTCCCTGTTTCTTTTCTTGTCCCTTCATTATTACTTGAGCAGATACACTGAGTGCCTGCTATATACCATGTACAGTGCTGGGCACTAAGAATACTATGGTGGTTCAAAACAAAAAATGCAGATTCCTTATGGTAAGTGCCATGGAAGAGAGGTCACATGATGCTATAGGGTCCTGAAACAGAAATTTGACCTAATCAGGTCAGGAGAGGCTTCCTTCTGAGGAGATGACATTTAAGCTAAGATCTGAAGAATGAGTAGGAATTAAAATGAGGAGAGGAGAACAGACTATTCAATATGCATAACTCATGCAGAGGCCCTTCTGTAGGAAAGAATATACAAAGTACAAGTGTCTGAAATTCAGTGTGGCTGTAAGAGAGAGAAAGCAAAACGGAACATGGTCTGAGAAAAAGTCAAGAGATGTAAGCTGTAGGATGTCTCCTTTAGGCCAGGCCATGGAGAGCTCTTAAGGAATTTTGACCTTTTCTAAGAACAGTGAGCAATCATTTAAAAGGGGATAAGCACTGGCTGCAGTGTAGATATTGGATTTGTATAGATCAATAGTAAAAGTAAGAAGTTAAGTATTACTGGACTGGTATGCTTAAGCAAGGACATCAGCTCACATTAAGGAAACTGGTGATAGTGAATCAAAAAAGTAGCTTCAAAAAATGTTTTTAAGGTAAAAGTCTAAACTTGGTTTTAATATGAGGAGGGAGAGGGGTTTTAAGGATGGCTCCAATGTTTAAAAAACAAATTAAAAATTTTGAACATGTGTACAGGTGTTTGTACATGTGTATCTGTTCCTGCTTAGTCTGGGGGGTTGCCTAACAAATAACTTTGATATATGCAAATTATATATAAACAATTTCCATCTTAAAGTGGCCCCTTAGAAGCTGCTATTAGAAATCATTGCCATGTGGCTCAGAGTTCACTTATCTGCCACTAGAAGCAAGTATTTGTGTGAAGTTATAATTATAGCTCAGTGCTTTATTGGCAAGGAAAGGTGGGGGAAAGAGAAGTAGTTGTGAAATACTCTCAATGTTTCATTTTGGAACGGTCTATTCTATTAATCTCTGATTGTTTATTTTTGACTAACTTATTCTAATGCATATTGTTTACTTAGAAACTAAGAATTTGGAGGACGAAGATAAAGACAATCCTATGGAAGAATGGGATTCTGAAGTGAGAGATGCAGAGAAAGGTAACTGAATTAATTAAGAAGATAAATGATAAAAAATAACCTTTCTGTTCTGAGTTTATTTAGGTGAGATTGAGTTAGAATTGTCAGTAAAACAGATTATTTCTATAGCAATGTTTTAATGTGTTCATGATGATAGATTTGTTTTTTCTTTTTCTCTTCAAAGATTTGGAACAGCTGAAAACTGAAGAAGGGGAGCTTCAAAGGTCAGCCTTCAGTATGAGTGTTAGAAAATATACTAGGTTTCACAAGGCTCAGAAACTTCCCACATATGACTGGGGGCATGAGTATTAACTAAGGCTCACTCAGGGCCTGTGCTCCACTTGGAATCTGACCCATCTTAGTTGACGATATTTCCAAAGTACTTACGGTTTATAGGACATTAATCCAAGGCAATATTTCTCAAGCTTGAATAATACCAGGATCCTTCAAAGAAAATAAAACTAGCATTAAACTTTTTGTATTGTACTTTTGTATTGTACTTAAGAATAAATAAATATAAAGTGAGATTTATATTTTGGATCTTTTCTAACTATAAGAAATCAAATACAAGTAATGACAAAACCAATAAAATTTCTTGACAACATTAATTTGATAGATGATAATGTTTGGTTAGAATTAAATTGATGTTCGCAAAATTGCTAACAAAAGCATAAATTCTATTTAGCTCTATCTAATAAACTAAACAAAACCAAATGGAGGCACCAAAATTATGACTTGCCTCAGTTTTAAGGTGGGCATTCTTATGATCTATATTATGCTGATATTTTTTTATATACATTACAAAACACCATGATAAGTATAGTCACTATTTGTCACTTACAAAGTTATTAAAATATTATTGTATTACTGATTATATTCCCTGTGCTGTACTTTTGATCCCCATGACTTATTTATTTATTCTTTTTTTTTTTGCTATCATTAATGTACAGTTACATGAACAACATTATGGTTACTAGACTCCCCCTATTATCAAGTCCCCACCACATACACCATTACACTGTCCATCAGCGTAGTAAGATGCTATAGAATCACTACTTGTTTTCTCTGTGTTGTACTGCCTTCCCATGTCACCCCTCTACATTATATGTACTAATCATAATGTCCCTTTTCCCCTTTATCTCTTCCTTCCAACCCATCCTCCCCAATCCCTTTCCCTTTGGTAACTGTTAGTCCATTCTTGGGTTCTGTGAGTCTGCTGCTGTTTTGTTCCTTCAGTTTTTGCTTTGTTCTTATACTCCACAGATGAGTGAAATCATTTGATACTTCTCTTTCTCCACCTGGCTTATTTCATTGAGCATAAAACCCTCTAGCTCCATCCATGTTGTTGCAAATGGTAGGATTTGTTTTCTTCTTATGGCTGAATAATATTCCATTGTGTATATGTTCCACATCTTCTTTATCTATTCATCTACTGATGGACACTTAGGTTGCTTGCATTTCTTGGCTATTGTAAATAGTGCTGTGATAACATAGGGGTGCATATGTCTTTTTTCAAACTGGGGTCCTGCATTCTTGGGGTCAATTCCTAGGAGTGGAATTCCTGGGTCAAATGGTGTTTCTATTTTTAGTTTTTTGAGGAACTTCCATACTGCTTTCCACAATGGTTGAACTAGTTCACATTCCCACCAGCAGTGTACGAGGGTTCCCCTTACTCCACATCCTCGCCAACATTTGTTGTGTTTGTCTTCTGGATGTCACACCTAACTGGTGTGAGGTGATATCTCATAGTGGTTTTTATTTGCATTTCTCTGATGATTAGGGATGTGGAGCATCTTTTCATGGCCCTGTTGGCCATCTGAATTTCTTCTCTGGAGAACTGTCTATTCAGATCCTCTGCCCATTTTTTAATTGGCTTATTTGCTTTTCGTTTGTTGAGGTGCATGAGCTCTTTATATAATTTGGATATCAACCCCCATCGGATATGTCATTTATGAATATGTTCTTCCATACTGTAGGATGTCTTTTTGTTCTACTGATGGTGTCCTTTGCTGTACAGAAGCTTTTTAGTTTGATATAGTCCCACTTGTTCATTTTTGCTTTTGTATCCCTTGCCCATGGAGATATGTTCATGAAGAAGTTGCTCATATTTAAGTCCAAGGGGTTTTTGCCTGTTTTTTTCTAAGAGTTTTATGATTTCATGGCTTACATTCAACCAGCGGTTGAAGAGGCAGTCAGTTCCCCGCTGTATATCCATGGCTCCTTTATCATATATTAATTGACCATATATGCTTGGGTTTATATCTGGGCTCTCTAGTCTGTTCCATTGGTCTATGGGTCTGTTCTTGTGCCAGTACCAAATTGTCCTGATTACTGTGGCTTTGTAGTAGAGCTTAAAGTCAGGAAACATAATCCCCTAGCTTTATTCTTCCTTCTCAGGATTGCTTTGGCTATTCGGGGTCTTTTGTCATTCCATATGAATTTTAGAACTATTTTCTCTAGTTCATTGAAGAATGCTGTAGGTAATTTCATAGGGATTGCATTGAATCTGTAGATTGCTTTAGGCAGGATGGCCATTTTGACAATATTAATTCTTCCTATCCATGAGCACGGGATGTGTTTCCACTTATTGGTATCTTCTTTAATTTCTCTAATGCATGTCTTGTAGTTTTCAGGGCATAGGTCTTTCACTTCCTTGGTTAGGTTTGTTCCTAGGTATTTTATTCTATTTGATGCAATTCTCAATGGAATTATTTTCCAGATTTCTCTTTATGCTAGTTCACTGTTAGTGTATAGGAATGCAACAGATTTCTGTGTATTAATTTTGTATCCTGCAACTTTGCTGAATTCAGATATTAGATCTCCTCGTTTTGGAGTGAATTCTTTAGGGTTTTTTATATACAATATCATGTCATCTGCAAACAGGGACAGTTTGACTTCTTCCTTGCCAAGCTGGATGCCTTTTATTTCTTTGTATTGTCTGATTGCTGTGGTTAACACCTCCAGAATTACGTTGAATAAAAGTGGGGAGAGTGGGCATCCCTGTCTTGTTCCCAATCTCAGAGGAAAAGCTTTCAGCTTCTCACTGTTCAGTATGATGTTGGCTGTGGGTTTATCATGTATGGTCGTTATTATGTTGAGGTACTTGCCCTCTATGCCCATTTTGTTGAGAGTTTTTATCATGAATGGATGTTGAATTTTGTCCAATGATTTTTCCGCATCTATGGAGATAATCATGTGGTTTTTGTCCTTCTTTTTATTCATGTGGTGGATGATGTTGATGGATTTTTGAATGTTGGACCATCCTTGCATCCCTCGGATGAATCCCACTTGATCATGATGGATGATCTATTTGATGTATTTTTAAATTCAGTTTGCTAATATTTTTTTTAATTTTTATACCTGATTTATATATGAATCCCACATTTCTCCCTTATTTATTTATTTTTTTAAATAAAATGCTGAAGTGGTAGATGATGCAAGATAAAGATAGAAAGCATAATTTAGTGCTGTATGAGGGCAAGTGTAGATGATCAGGTCAGTGCCTATAGACTATTAGTTCAAGCTAGACAAGGCAACAAAATATCCATGGATGCAGAAGATTTCTCTCAAAACAAGGGGGGTGAGGTTCTAAGCCTCACCTCTGTTGATCCCCAATTTCTCACCTGATGGCCCCCCTGCAACTATGCCTGTTTTAGGTTGTTCCTCCCTTGAGGAATCATACCTGTCTCTGGCTAACCAGTCATCTTCTGGGGCCATACAGGGAAATGTAAAGTTGGTAAGTGAGAGAGAAGCAATATTTTTTTAAAATATTAGCTTTTTACTTCTTTGCAGATTTATGCCCTGTGGCTTCTATGCCCAGCTTTTGTTCTGAGGTATCTTTACCACTTGGAAGAATTATGATGCTCGGGAATTTTCAATATGAGGCACAAATTCTACTAAAGGGCTGTAATTAGGGAGGAAGAAGAAAAGCTATAGAAGTAGCAGACAAAAAAACATGGGAAGATTGATTATTTCTTTGACATAACTTCTTGTAGAGTAACATAAGCATGTATAGGTTTTAACAAACTACTAATTAAATTGCGCACACACATTAACAGAATAGGAGTACAGATGCATAACAAAAGCAGACCTACAATTACCAGTCATATCCAGTGAAACCAAGAAAACCAGTTAGGTACCCTAGGCATTTATGAAAACTTATCAATAATATAATGGATATTGTCTAACTGAATTTGAATAATTTGAGAAAAATTAAAAGAACACATTCCTGGGAACTGTTCACCTCCCATATGTTCTTTTAACAGTAGATAGTCTATAGTCGCACGATTTTGAAGCACTACAACTCGCACTTCTAATTCTTGGTTGAGTTCCGACAATATAGAACCAGTCAAATTTGTTGTTTTACTGCATGCACAGGCCAGCTTAGATATCTCCTTCTGCATTCCAACAGCAAGTCCAGGAACCTGCGGGGTGAATGCAGCTACAACTGCAACAGCACCAGGATCTTTGTTGAAGTTTTTTGATGATCATCTTCTGGAATGACTCTTCCAGAGGATGTTGATGTTGGAAGTTCTTCTTCATACCGTATCTTAATTCGTTTTCTGGGTAGCCAAATTAGGTTTGCTAATATTTTGTAGAGTATTTTTGCATCTATTTTCATCAGGGATATTGGTCTGTAATTTTCTTATTTCTGTGGTATTATTGCCTGGTTTGGGTATTAGAGTGATTTTGGCCTCATAGAATGAGTTTGGAAGTATTCCCTCCTGTTCTACTTTTTGGAAAACTTTTAGGAGGATGGGTATTAGGTCTTCACTAAATGTTTGATAAAATTCAGCGGTGAAACCATCTAGTTCAGGAATTTTGTTCTTAGGTAGTTTTTTGTTTACCAATTCAATTTCTTTGCTGGTAATTGGTCTTTTCAGATTTTCTGTTTCTTCCTTGGTCAGCCTCAGAAAGTTGTATTTTTCTAGAAAGTTGTTCCATTTCTTCTAGGTTATCTAGTTTGTTACCATATACTTTTTCATAGTATTCTCTCATAATTCTTTGTCTTTCTGTGGTGTCCATAGTGATTTTTCCTTTCTCATTTCTGATACTGTTTATGTGTGTGTAGGCTCTCTTTTTTTCTAGGTAAGTCTGGCTAGGGGGTTATCTATTTTGTTTATTTTCTCAAACAACCAGCTCCTGCTTTCATTGATTTTTTTCCTATTGTTTTATTCTTCTCAATTTTTCTTTAATTTTTATTATGTCCCTCCTTCTACTGGCTGGGCCCCATTTGTTCTTCCCTTTCTCACTTCATTAGTTGTGAATTTAGACTGTTTATTTGGGATTGTTCTTCTTTCCTGAGGTAGGCCTGTATTGCAATATATACCTCTTTTAGCAAGGCCTTCGTTGTGTCCCACAGATTCTGTGTTGTTGAATTATTGTTGTCATTTGTCTCCATACATTGCTTGATCTCTCTTTTTATTTGGTCATTCAGCCATTAATTATTTAGGAGCATGTTATCAAGCCTCTGTGTGTTTGTGGGCTTTTTCATTTTCTTTGTGTAATTTATTTCTAGTTTCATACCTTTATGATCTGAGAACCTGGTTGGTAAATTTCAATCTTTTTGAATTTACTAAGGCTCTTTTTGTGGCCTAGTGTATGACCTATTCTTGAAAATGTTCCATGTCCACTTTAGAAGAATGTGTATCCTGTTGCTTTTGGATGAAGTGTTCTGTAGATGTACGTTAGGTCGGTCTGTTCTAATACGTTGTTCAGTGCCTCTGTCTCTTTACTTATTTTCTGTCTGGCTGATCTGTCCTTTGGACTGAGTAGTGTGTTGAAGTCTCCAAAAATGAAGGCACTGCATTCTATTTCCCGCTTTAATTCTGTTAGTATTTGTTTCACATATGTAGGTGATTCTGTATTGGGTGCATATATATTTATAATAGTTATATCCTCTTGATGGACTGACCCCTTTATCATTATGTAATGTTCTTCTTTGTCTCTTATTACTTTCTTTGTTTTGAAGTCTAATTTCTCTGGTACAAGTACTGCAACTTCTGCTTTTTTCTCCCTATTAGTTGCATGAAATCTTTTTCCATCCCTTTACTTTCAGTCAGTGTATGTATTTGGGTTTGAAGTGAGTCTCTTGTAGGCCGCATATAGATGGGTCTTGTTCTTTTATCCATTCAGTTACTCTATGTCTTTTGATTGGTGCATTCATACCATTTACATTTACAGTGATTATCGATAGGTATGTACTTATTGCCATTGCAGGCTTTAGATTCGTGATTACCAAAGGTTCAAGGATAATTCCCTTACTATCTAACAGTCTAATTTAACTCACTTCATATGCTATTACAAACACAACCTAAAGGTTCTTTTTTTTCTCCTTTTTCTTCCTCCTCGATTCTTTATATGGTATGTGTCATATTCTGTACTCTTTATCTACCCTTTGATTGACTTTGGGGGTATTTGATTTGATTTTGCATCTGCTTAGTAATTAATTGTTCTACTTTGCTGTGGTTTTATTTCCCCTGGTGACATCTATTTAACCTTAGGAATACTTCCATCTGTAGGAGTCCCTCCAAAATGCACAAAATGCACTGTAGAGGTGGTTTGTGGGAGGTAAATTCTCTCAGCTTTTGCTTATCTGTTAATTGTTTAAGCCCTCCTTCAGATTTAAATGATAACCTTGCCAGGTACCGTATTCTTGGATTGAGGCCCTTCTGCTTCATTGCATTAGATATATCATGCCACTCCCTTCTGACCTGTAAGGTTTCTGTTGAAGAATCTGATGATAGCTTGATGGGTTTTCCTTTGTATGTGATCTTTTTTTCTCTCCCTAGCTGCTTTTTAAAAGTCTGTCTTTATCCTTGATCTTTGCCATTTTAATTATATATCTTGATGTTTTATTCCTTGGGTCCCTTGTATTAAGAGATCTGTGCACCTCCATGGCTTGAGAAACTATATCCTTCCTCAGATGGGGGAAGTTTTCAGCAATTACCTCCTCAATGACATTTCTATCCCTTTTTCTCTCTCTTCTTCTTCTTCTTCTGGTACCCCTATAATGCAGATATTATTCCTTTTGGATTGGTCACACAGTTCTCTCAATAGTCTTTCATTTTTAGAGATCCTTTTTTCTCTCTGGGCCTCAGCTTCTTTGTATTCCTCTTCTCTAATTTCTATTCCATTTACCATCTCTTCTACTACATCTTATCTGCTTTTAAATCCTTCCACTGTATGTTTCATTTCAGATATGAAATTTCTTAATGATTGAATCTCCATCTTAAATTTGTCCCTGAGTTCTTGAATATTTTTCTGTACCTCCATGAGCATGTTTATGATTTTTATTTTGAACTCTCTTTCAGGAAGATTGGTGAGTTCAGTTTCATTTGGCCCTTTTTCTGGGGTTTGTGAGATTGTGGTCTGAACCAGGTTCCTCTGACATTTCATAATTCTATGTGATGCCCTCTGGTGCTGAGAAGCTCTAGTCTCTGGAGCTGCTCAGCTCCTAGAGTGGGGTTGGGGGTCACTGGGGAGCAGCGCTGGTGCCTGGGGGGAAGAAAGATATTTCCTGATTCCCAGCTGCAGTGCCTGTCTCCAGTGCCAGAGCCAATGGGCTAAGCACACAGGTGTAAGCCTTTGTGCTTTGCTTCTGTAGCTGTTGTAGGCAGGCCTCCCTCTGGCTGGCCTGACACCAGCTCAGTGCAAGCACTTGCTAGCAGGCCAGGAGGAAGGTACTGCAGGCTGTGTTTCACAGTGGAGGGGGCCTTGGAGCTGAGTAGGCAGCCAGGGGGATGGAGCGCCTGAAGGTCCTCAAACTTCCCAACCTACTGGGCAGAGTGCACCCAGACAACCTTGACCACCTATCCATTCTCCCCCTTAGCAAGCTCCATGCAGACCCCACCCCTTCAGCAGCCCTCTCGCTGCTAGGAAGCCTCTCAGACCGCCTGCCTTTCCTTTGTCCCAGAGCAGCCGGATGTGGATCCCCGTCCTCCACAAACGGCCAGAATCTCAGTCTCTCAAGCACTCCACCTGTCTCAGCTCCCCAACCCCACCAACCTCCAGAGTAGCACACAATGTAGGTTTGTGCTCCAAAGCAGACCTCCAGGCCTGGGTGTTCAGCAGTCTTAGGCTTCCATGCCTTCCCTACTCCATTTCTCTTCCTCCGGTCATGATCTGAGGTGGGGGAAGGGCTTGGGTCCCACCAGGTCAAGGCTTTTGTATGTTATGCTGTTTTGTGAGTTCTGCTCTGTTCGTGAGGTTCCTATGCAGCCTGGTGCAGCCTTCTTTCCTGTTGCTGTTTTAGGGCTAGTTGTATTAACTATATTTTCACACTATATGTGGTTTTGGAGGAATTCTCTGTCTCACCTCTCACGCCACCATCTTGATTCCTCGCCTTATTTATTTTATAATTGGAAATTTGTACCTATTTACCCCCTTCAACTATTTCATTATGCTTTATTTTTATTATCAAATTGAAAATGTAAGTATTAATAATAATCTTAGTGAGCATGTGAACCCTGAGGATATTTTCATGGATCATAATTTGAGAACCACTGAATTAGGTCTGCCCTAAAATAGACCCAAACTACTAGCTTAATGAATGCTTAAGAAAAAAATAAAACAACCAAAAATGCTAAAATGGACACTGTTCACCTCATTGGAGAGCCATCTAGCATGTGACTTCTTGTCATGAATCTTTAATTTTAATAGTGTCTGAATTCTCTAATAACAGCCTTACCTTTCTGCTGTGATTTGCAGAAATCTCTTAGAACTGGAGGTACAGAAAGAGCAGACCCTTGCTCAAATAGACTTTGCACAAAAACAAACAAGTAGAACTGAAGAGCTGCTGGATCAGCTGAGGTAAGGAAAGGCAGGTGTCATTAGTTTGTGTTTTATCTTGTGCCTTTGTAGTTGTCTAAACCTTCCAGAGCATTTGCCATGTATTTGAAATCTGTATCACTCTTTTTAACTACAGTGCAGCCAAAAAAAAGTCAGTGTACTCAACACTAAGCTGAAAGTACACAAGGTGGAATTGCTATGGAATTATAATTTAATATATTTAACATTTTATATTGCCTGGACTTGGTTTTTCTCTGATATACAACTCAAGATTGAGTTAATACTTTTTTCTTTCAAAAGTGTAAGTTTGTACATTAAAATATTGTCTCCCAAGCCATTAGAAAAACCCCAGCAGCTGCCAAAAACTTTTTGGGTGTTATCAGAACTTACCTCTCTTTCTTTATCTCAAAAAAATATGTTTTTTGTCTTGTTTACTTCTCTCCAGCTTGTCTGAGTGGGATGTCATTGAGTGGAGTGATGATCAAGCTATATTCACCTTTCTTTATGACACAATAGAACTCACCATCATCTTTGGAGAGCCAGTGGGTGAGTAGTAAAAGTAAGACAGTTCCTCTGCAGAAAAATGTATGGCTAAACTGACAGATTCAAATCTTTATTTTAATACAATAACAACTGTTGGCATAATGAAAGCACTACTGAAAATCTTGGAAGAGGCAATAATGTTAAAAGTTCCCTTTCTCAAAGAATACCATCAACTTCTACCCAGGTCCAACATTAAAACTTAGGAATCAGTGTAAATCTTTCTCCCTCACCAAACATGTCTAAATCATCAGTAAGACTTACTGTTTTTTTTTCTTAATATTAATCTACATTTCTTCATCTTCTATCAGTAGTCATCTCTAACCTAGATGACTACACTAACATTCCACTGGTCTTTCTGAGTCATTTCCATTTCCTCTCCAGTTCATCTCAAATCATCTCCATTCCTCTCCAGTAATTACTATAGCTATAGTAATTATTGGAAGTCTTAACATGCACCTACTACTTTTAGGCTAAAGATCAAAATAGTATAGCTGGTAAATTTCTGCATGAATTGAATTTTTCCTCCCTTTCCTGCCTCAGCTTATACTATTCTCTGCAGATCAGCTATAACTGATTTCTGTCATTTCCTTAAAAGATCATGGTTTTTCACACTCAGTCATATTCCATCCTACCTCAGGACTTTCATATTGATGTTTCTTTCTTTTTTTTTAGTGTTCAATTATAGTTGATACATACTGATGTTTCTTATGCCTGGAAGCTCTACCGCACATCTTGGTCTTTTCAGGGTGCTATAGAAAAATACCATAAATGGGTAGGTTATAAATAGTAGACATTTATTTCTCATAGTTCTAGAAGTTGGTAGCCCAAAATCAGGGTGCCAGCATAGTGTGATCAGGTGAGGGCCCTCTTCTAGGTTCCACACTTCTCTTTGTATCCTTAAATGGCAGAAAGCCAAGCTAGCTCTCCAGGATCTCTTTTTTTTTTCTTTTTGGGTATCATTAATCTACAATTACATGAAGAACATTATGTTTACTAGGCTCCCCCCTTCACCAAGTCCACCCCACAAACCCCATTACAGTCACTGTCCATCAGCATAGTAAGATGCTACAGAATCCCTACTAGTCTTCTCTGTGTTGTACAGCCCTCCCCATGCCCCTCCAATACTACACATGCTAATTGTAATGCCCCCTTTTTCCCTGCCCTTATCCCTCCCTTCCCACCCATCCTCCTTAGTCCCTTTCCCTTTGGTAACTGTTAGTCCATTCTTGGGTTCTGTGATTCTGCTGCTATTTTGTTCCTTCAGTTTTTGTTCTTATACTCCACATATGAGTAAAATCATTTGGTACTTGTCTTTCTCTGCCTAGCTTATTTCACTGAGCATAATACCCTCTAGTTCAATCCATGTTGTTGCAAATGGTAGGATTTGTCTTCTTCTTATGGCTGAATAATATTCCATTGTGTATATGTACCACATCTTCTTTATCCATTCATCTACTGATGGACACTTAGGTTGCTTCCATTTCTTGGCTATTGTAAATAGTGCAGCGATAAACATAGGGGTGCATCTGTCTTTTTCAAACTGGGCTGCTTCATTCTTAGGGTAAATTCCTAGAAGTGGAATTCCTGGGTCAAATGGTAAGTCTATTTTGAGCATTTTGAGGAATCTCCATATTGCTTTCCACAATGGTTGAACTAATTTACATTCCCACCAGCAGTGTAGGAGGGTTCCCTTTTCTCCATAACCTCGCCAACATTTGTTGTTGTTTGTCTTTTGGATGGTGGCGATCCTTACTGGTGTGAGGTGATATCTCATTGTGGTTTTAATATGCATTTCTGATGATTAGCAATGTGGAGCATCTTTTCATGTGCCTGTTGGCCATGTGAATTTCTTCTTTAGAGAACTGTGTATTCA